TTATACGGCTCCAGCTTGTTCAGGTTATGGGTACCGCTTTTAAAATTTCGAGGTATAGTTACACGCTAAAATTTAATATAAAAATTATAGTTTATGTCTTTGCAAAAAATATGTATTATTTAGAAAAGACTATTTCATTGGGTGGTACAATTTTTTTTACTTAAAATGATATACCGTTTTTTTTTACTGATTGTTCGGTTTACGATTTAGTACCTTTTTCATGAAAAAAATAATCTATTGGCTATTCTCGACTTTTAAGTCAACAAAAATATAATTGTTTTGATTTATAATTGACAAAAAGTCTGTTCAAGTACTGGTCCTATTTTTATAAATATTTTACTGGGTACTTTACCTTAATTAAGTTTTTCTAATAAATAAATTAGAATAAAAATTTTTTAAAATAAAAAATGCAATTTTTTAAAAATAATTTTTTTGTTAAAAAAAATTATCAAGTGACTGCTGATTTTAATTTCATTATTTTTAGAATTTTTTTTACAAAAAAATTATGAAAAATAAAAATTAACTTGTAAAAATTTTTTAAAACTTAATAACCCAATTTTTTTAAATAAATTATTTTTAGGAGTCCGTCAAAGTCAAAAAAATCAAAAACTTTCAAATTTCCTTCAAAAAAACGGGAAAAGTCCAGAGAAAAAGACAGCAAAGAAAAAGAAACTGATAAAGATGCTAAAAAAAAGCGGGATAAAGATGACAAGCATAATGATACTGATAAAGAAAAACGCAAAGATAAAGACAAGGACAAGGATAAGTTAAAGTATAAATTGAAGGATAAAAAGAAGAAGCATGATGAAGATATTGGTGGTAATTATTGTTTTTTTTTAACAAAGTTTAAATTCAAAATTACAAATTTAAATTTTTGTAGATGTTCAACCTATTTTTGGAGTAAGTCTTCAACTAGCAGTTGAACGGAGTCGGTGTCATGATGGGATTGAGCTGCCACTTGTTGTAAGAAATTGTATTGATTATTTGGAAGAGTTTGGTATGACTACTGAAGGGCTTTACAAAGTTCCTGGTGTTAAATCTAAAGTACAGCATTTTAAGAAACTTTACAATCAACGCGAGAGCGTTAACACCGCGGAGTTTGAGCCTACTGTAGCTGCTAGTCTATTGGTATTATTCTTCAGGTAATTGAATTATATCAAATTTTTATAAATATAAACTTTTTTTTCTAGATATTTATTAGTAAACTTAAATACTAAATCTTGAGTAATTAAATTGCTAGAGAATATTATTTTCCTAATAAGGTATAATTATATCTGGTGAGATCTTAAATTTTCTTCCTAAGAAGAAAATACAGTGTTTAAAATTTATTAAAATAAAGTACCCAGTACTTGAACACTCATAAAAATGGGACCAATACTTGAACAGACTTTTCGAATTGTTGTAATACAAACTCCGATTTATTATGAATAATATGCGCATTTCATAATTATTCAATGATACAGTAATTGATTTCTGTAAGCTTTTTCAATTATAAATCAAAACAATTATATTTTTGTTAACTTAAAAGTCGAGAATAGCCGATAGATTATTTTTTTCATGAAAAAGGTATTAAACCGTAAACCGAACAATCAGTCAAAAAAACGGTGTATTTTAAGTAAAAAAAATTGTACCACCCAATGAAATAGTCTTTTCTAAATAATACATATTTTTTGCAAAGACATAAACTATAATTTTTATATTAAATTTTAGCGTGTAACTATACCTCGAAATTTTAAAAGCGGTACCCATAACCTGAACAAGCTGGGGCCGTATAATTTTAACAGCACTCTAATCTCTAATAGGTTTATCGACTAGTGATCAGCATTGTCATTTGTATTAATTACTGCTAATTAAATAAGTTTTATAGCTAAAAATTAGTGTAGTTAAAAATTATTGAACGTTTTGAATAGAGTTTTTTTGATTTATAATTGAAAATTTGCTTTGTCATTCATCAAAAATGTAATTAAAAAATTAAATACAAATATTTATCATTTTTAAATGAACATATTAAATATTGATAGTATTATTTTTAATATTAATCAATAATATGTTATAATTCTTTAGATATTTCAATAAAACGTTGAAAATTTTTGCTGTGTCTATTGCCATATATTTTATTAGTTAAACTACTGCTCCCGGAGTGTTAAACTACTAAGGCTTGTCAGAATTGATTGTTAAACTACTACTCCTTTGATAGTCTATCTTAAAAACTTTGTCAAAATATAAATATTCTATCTTTGTTATTCTGCTAATCAAAATTGTTTATATTTTCATGAAAATCACTAATTTTAACTAATAATTACATTTTTATATATTAAAAGTCGGGTCAAATACGTTTTACTTTGAAACCTGTTCAACTACTGGGTACTTTACATTATATACGTACATATGAAAAATATATCAAAATTTGTCAAAATATATAAAAAAAAAAATTATTTAAAAAAAAATGAATTCTTTAGTTTTAAAAATTTTTCTTGTCATAATTTTTTTGTTATAAATTTTTTTTAAATATTAAATATATAAATTAATTTTTATTAATTAATAAATGACCTTGTACCTCGTGAACTATTGACATTTTCAATGATATAAGCTCACCCTGACATTACACTCGTCGAGACCTTTCATTTGAGTACCCACATCAATTTTTCATATATTTCATATACTTATATATATGTATAAATCAAAAATATATCAAAAATGCATGTAGGTACTCAAATGAAAGCTCTTAATGAGAGTAACCTCAAGATGAGCTTATATATTTAAAAATGTCAATAATTAAGAAATTATATTGTATCTTGTTAATTTATGATATTTTTTAGAATATAAGCTCATTTTGATGTTATACTCATCAAGACCTTTCATTTGAGTACCCACATGCATTTTTTCTATATATCATATATTTTTATATATATATCATATATATGTATATATGAAAAATATATCAAAAATGCATGTGAGTACTCAAACGAAAGCTCTTGATGAGCCTAACATCAAGATGAGCTTATATCTTTAATTTCTAAATTTAAATACTAATTCTTGAGTATAATAAAAATTAGCATAAATTAAAAATTCATTTAAAACTTCAGAGAATTACCAGAAGCAGTTTTAGAAAGCAGCGAAACAATATCCCGTTTCGAGCAAGCAGCATCAACAAAAGAAGTATCAACGCGTGAATCTCAACTAACGCAACTAGTCCAGCAGCTTCCAGAATGCAACCGGGTGCTCCTAGGCTGGGTAACCTGTCACTTGGATCATGTAACAGCCCGCGAAAAGACGACCAAAATGAACGCCCAGTCCATAGCCATGACCTTGAGTCCAGTTTTACAGATGAGCCACCGGCTGTTCCTGGCGCTGCTGTGCCACTGCAAGGCACTGTTCCCCGAAGTTACGCTGGACAAGTATGTTCCGCCATTACCGGCTGGAACATTGTGCCTGCCTGACACTCCAGAAGCAATTGCAAAGGAGTTAGCAAAGCAAGAGTCGCTTTTGGAACAGATCCACATGCAAATGAACGCTGGGTTCGTGACCAAGTCCCGGGAAGAATTATTGTGGGAAGTCCAGCGGATTATCACTCAGTTAAAAAGGAAATTTAAAACCGTCCAGAAGTTAGAAGGAAATCTCCAGAAGAGTCTTGATGATGAGGTAAAATCTTCTGATGAAAATCACGGAGAAGCTGAAACAAGTTCCGTTCCTGGAACCAAAATTTTAGCGACCAGTTCCGGGAACTCAGGAACTAATTCTAACTCTGGTTCCTCTGGAGTGTTAAATTCCGCAGCTGGAGTGTCTAGCTCATCAAATTTGGGTTCAGGAACGGCAAGTTCCGTTCCTGGAACATTAGGAACAGTTGGAACAGCAGGAACTGCGACTGCAGAGCCACCTGTGGTTGATACTGAGTTACCAACAGCGACTAAAGAGACTAAAGATGTCGTTGACGCTTCGGAAGAAGTTAAAGAAGATGAAAATGACAATTTAGTTGAAAAATTGCGAGAAATGTTAATTCATGATGAATTATTAAACATGGAAACTGTTTTGAAAATGAGGATACAGCAAGAAAGAAGTGAAATTAAGAAGCTTAATGATATGATTGTAGAAAATCCGGAAATAGTTAAGGTTAAGGATAAAGAACGGGTTCATTCGCCAAATGAAGCTGAAATCACTGCGATGATACAGCTAGCCAAAGAAAATCAACTTCTAGAGGTAAGTTTTTTTATACTGAGGTAAAGTAACGATTGTTGCTATAAGAGACAAGGGTTTTTTTTTAATTTTAAATTAACTATTGACAATTTTAAAGATATAAGCTCATTTTGATATTACACTAGTTGAGACCTTTCATTTGAGTACCCACATCAATTTTTCATATATTTATGTATATTATATATATGTATATATGGAAAATATATCAAAAATGCATGTGGGTATTCAAGTGAAAGCTCTTGATGAGTGTAACATCGGGATGAGTTTATTTCTTTAAAATATATATTATATACATTATTGAGAAATGATCTTGTATCTTGTGAACTATTGATATTTTTAAAGATATAAGCTCATCCTGATGTTACACTCATCGAGACCTTTCATTTGAGTATCCAGATCAATTTTTCATATATTTTATATATTTAAATATATTATATATATGTATATATGAAAAATATATCAAAAATCCATGTGGGTACTCAAATGAAAG